TTTACATTTTATCTTAGTATGAAGATGATACTTTGGGTATAGCATCTATCGCAGTTAACTTAGATTTCGTGTATCTTCGCTATCGTGAATTGCCAATGCAGTTTTGTATGCCCCGTTCGCGCCGGGCGGAGAAGCTCCGCGTATGACGTCGCGGACCGTGTCTACTATCGGATGCCTCTATGTTTGGTACACGCGGTAAGTGCGGTGTGGTAAGCCAGGGTTGATGTTTAATGATGGAAGCTAAAAAATGCATTTTTAACAATTCGTCACTTTGTGTGCACACGCAACGTTCACCTTCGATTTGTTTCAAATTGTAAACTCGTGGAGAGCATTTCAAAGCAACAACTCCGTCTGATGAGGTATACCTTTTACACACCCCTGCGGTTTTGAACACGGTTTTGAACAGTTTCTGAACTGCAAGAAGAAAAATAAGACTGTTATGCAAGACTCCACATGGTCGTATCCATGTGGGTGTGTGATTATACATGTAGTTGGGTAAACATATATGTATATGCATCGATACATAAAGTCATATCCTACACATGCAACTTGACAGATTAGCTGGTCGCCCTGGAGGAGCCGGGTCGGATTTATTATAGCTCCTATGCATGATGGATCTGCTGACTTGTACACCGATACTGACAGGGTTTCACTACCTAAGGGTTGGTTCATGACCCAGATATTCAGGACTACAGCATCTTAACCGCCCTGGAGCATTTGCATGCTGAAAAGTACATTAGGAGCGCTCGAATTTTCCAGGTTGGCCTCTCATGTAAACGGGAGTATCCAGGTGTGCTATCTTACAGGACATGTATGACAGACATATCATTTTAGTATGACAGACGCAGTGTGTGCGAACGACAGATGCAGTATTCGAGCAGGGTGCATGTACGTCCCGAAGGGCAGCTCTGAGTAAGCAAAACCTTTATCCGTCCGTTGCAAACCGTCACAGAAACACATATTTTGATACCAAAGGACTCATCAAACTGGCCCTTCAGTGCCTTCGTCTTCCCCTCACCGCAGGTTTCCCCGCACTGCTCTCTACAGATCTACTTTGGCTGCTCTGGGCTTTTGCCCGAGATCACATTTTGTAACGCTTCGCGCAGGGTGCGATTCATCGCCTCCGAGAAAGGGAGTTCTAGCTGCGCCGGCGTCAGCCCGTCTGCTGCCGCAGCAGGGTGCATGTCCGGCTCGACGTCATCCGAAAGGTGGGTAGGCAGGAGGTCGCGGCTTGCAGCGTCCCCGGTCGGCAGGTCGAGGAGCGTCGCATCGTAACGTGCCGCCTCAACGAGCATCTGGTTCTTGAGATCCGCCGCGCCGGCGGCACACCGGATGACTCCGGCACCTGGGTCAGGGAGCACAAGCACATCCAAGCACGTCCCGGTTCCCTCCCCGCCCGCTGCGCTACCACTCTTGGGCTTGATGATCCCGGCGCGCGCCAAGCCTCCCTCCATGTGCCCCCCCTTGCCGTCACCCACGGTCCACAACCCTAGCCCCGCTTGCGCACAAGTTGCACCACTGGCTCCTTCGCCTGGTCCGCCCTGGGGTTTGGACACACTGCCGTGCGCCTGCAGACGCTGGGTCCACGCCTTCGACCTCGCCTCAAGGTCTTGGTCCCCTCCGCCTGCAGCCTGCAAGTCCGGAGGCGAGGCATCAAGCACGTCGCCTCCGTCAAGCACGTCCACCGGCTCGCAGACACTTCCATGCGCCTGGAGGCGCTGCGTCCACGACTTCGACCTGGCCTGCAGCTCCTCATCTCCTTCCGCCGGCTGCGGGTATGGCGTCCCAGCGTCAAGCACATCGCCTCCGTCAAGCACATCCACCGGCTCGCAGACACTCCCCTGCGCCTGGAGGCGCTGCGTCCACGACTTCGACCTGGCCTGCAGCTCCTCATCTCCTCCCGTCGCCTGGAGCGCTGCGTTTGCCTGCGTCCACGCCTTCGCCTTCAACTGCGCTGCGTCGCCAGGGAGGATGGCCGAGCTGCCATCAGGCCCGGTGGTCGCTCGTCCTGCGTCTTCCCTCCGAGCGCCAGCCCCCCTGCTGACGCCCTCGGGCGCGGGGTCCGTGGCCGCACTTCTCACCACGGCTGCGGTGGCCTGCGCCCACTCGTCCTCCAGGGCGGCCGCGGCGTCGTCCAGGTGCGGCAGACACTCCGCCCGGCGGCCGCCGGAGGGGCTCTGCGGCGGCGACAAAGGAGGCGGGCTGCCCAGGTCCTCCTCGCAGTCCAACGAGGAGCGCCCGGGGATGCTGAGGCCGCAGCCGGGGAGGTCGTCCAGGCCCAGCAAGTCCTCCTCCTCTTCGTCGCTCCCCCCGGAGCCCCCGAGTCCTGGCGTGCCGGCCCGCCTCTGGGGCGCCACCCCGTCTCTTAGCACCACCGCTCCCGTTGGCAGGACCACCGGCCCAGGCTGCTGCAGAGCACTAAGGACGGTGGCCGGGGAGTCCATGGCGGCCCAGCCCATGGCACCTATCGGCGCCCCCGAGCGAGCGAGCCTGTGCAGATACTCCTGGAGCTCCTGCTGCTCGCGCTGGCTGTCGTCGGCCTCGCCGGCCCCGTCGGCCTTCCCTGCTTCGCTGCCTTCCCCGTCGCTGCTCTCCTCCGGGGGCTCTGGGTTGGCTGGGCGCTCCGGCAGCGACGGCACCGGCGAGGACCGCGCCAGCGTGAGGCGCGGGAAGGCAGCGCCGGCGGCGAACTCGTCCTCTTCCGCCTCAGCCGCCCCGTGCGGATGGCCGAGGGGAAGCCGCGGGCCCGGCTGCAGGGGCTGCTGCAGGCGGTACTGCCCCTGCGCGCCTCGCATCTCGTCCGCGAACTCCTCCTCGTTCGCGTCCGCGGCCACGTCGGGGATCTCGCCGTCGTCACCGCTTGACAGGCTCCGCGGTGGGGTGGGGTTCGCCGGGCGCTCGGGGATTTCGGGGAGAGGGGATGCCGAGGAGACGCGGTACGCTTCGCCGCGGGGGCTCGCGCCGGTGCGATCCGGAGGGCCCCGGTGGAACCCCTCGCGATCCCTCGGGGTGCCAGGCCCCAGGTCGTCGAGGTCCGTGAAGGGCGCCAGATCGGGGTCGCGGACGCCTCCACCGGGATCACGCGAAAGGTTGAAGTCCCCCGCACCGCCCATCGAACGCTCAGAGCGCGGTCCCCCCCGTAGGACGCTGAAGCAGAGCTCGCGGAGCTCGTCCGCGTGCATAAGGCGCAGGGCGCGCGCGAAGCCGAGGAAGAGCTCCCCGAAGGCAGGGCGCTCGTTGAGCAGCGCCGCCACCTCCCCCAGTGTCAGGCTGTTGGGATCGTCCGGATCCGCTCTTCCGGGGGGAAGGGAGCCCTCTGGGCCGCCGAAGCCCCCCTCCTCACGGAGCAGCGCCGCCTCGCCCTTCCCGAGCTCCCCGCGGCTGCAGGCGCGTTGAGGACCGGGAGCGACGTACGGACGCGGCTGCGCCACTGGGGAGCCCGCGCGGCCCACGTCCGAGGGGCCCGGCATGAAGTCGAAGTCATGCGCGCGGGTGGCGCTGCTCAGGGGCTCGCGGCCGGCGAAGGGCTCTCCAGGATCGGGGAAGTCGTACTCGAATTCATCGAAGTCGGGCATCTGAGCCGTGACTTCGGCGCCAGGGAGCTGAGCCACGTGGGTCCCCACGGGAGGATTCCCCGCACCGTGAGGACTCGGCAGGGGGGGCGGGAAACCAGGCGCCTGGGAGCCCCCACTTTGTGGCGATGCGTGACAACTGTAGTAGGCTTCATCGCGCGTTACGCCAGGAGTGTTAAGCAAAGCCACTTCGGATCCCCCGTCTTCCCCAAGCAGCTGCAAGGAGGCGCCATGTGAGGGGCCCTCGGTGATCGCGCTCCGCACGGAAGGCGCCGTACTGTGAGCGGCCACCACAGCGGTGAGGTATTCGTTCGGGGATCCGCAGATCGCAGGTGCGCAGAGCATGCTGTTTGGTAGAGCGCTCCGGGCCTGAGCTGCGTTTGCAAGAGACGCAAGGCCGTCCCGCAGCATGGTCGCGCTGCGGTCAGGCGTGCCAAGCGGAAGCTCACGAGGGGTCCCAGCGGAGAACGCGAAGTCCAAACCCACATGCTCCAGCGGGTCCGTCATGTTGCGGGAGTGGGATGAGCTAGTCTTGTGGAGGTGTGGACGGCTGATGTCGTCGAGGTGGTTACACCTGCTTATTGCGCAAGATTTGCTTCCTATCCGTTTGAAAGATTCGTGGAGTTTCTTGAGTGGTGGAGCGCTACTGCTGCAGTCAGAAGCTCTTTGGAAGCCCCAGGTTACGGAACGGTTTACGCCGTGGACCTTGAGTTACACCTGAACCGCTATCATTGAACAGCCGGATCCAATGAGGCGTAAGTTAAAGGAGTGAACGGAGTGAAGGGTTTTCAAGTGCAGCAGGCGCGAGAACCTTTAGAGTTGAATACGGTATACTTTTAACTTTATGCGGTATAAACGTATAAACAGTTAATTGCATAAACATATGAAATCTTCATCTACCATGATCTTTATCGCACCGAAGGTGCATCTATGATATATTCCTCCCTAAAATATCTCTGACGATCGGTGTTGTAGAAATCTGACGTGTAACCGGTAGCTACCGGTAGTGATGCCCCTTAGCAACCGGCAGCCGTTCGATGGGCCTACTTAAGGTCCAATAGGCCCCGCCATAGCCCTTCTTAGCCACTGGCAGCCGTCGATATCTTACCGGTAGCACCCGTCAGATTTCTGGAACACTGCTGACGATTGGGGGTTTTTTCATCGAGACCGCAAAACTTGCGCATTTAAAATCTGACGCCCAGCTTGGCACGGTTACGCGTTTATCAGAGCTGCTCCATGGGCATGGTGATGGTGTCACTCCTTGAACAGAGAAGACCGGACCGCAAAACTTTCATACGGAATTCCCCATATACAGGGAAATATATAATTTAAATATGTATAAAGAAATACGTTTTCTCCCAATATATGTACAGCGCAATCAAAGCATAGATTATTTATTATAGAAATGTTGACATAAGTAATCAATAGGACTTCGTGGCGCAATGGTAGCGCGTCCGACTCCAGATCGGAAGGTTGAGGGTTCGATTCCCTTCGGGGTCAAAGAGAAAGAGGCCTTTTCGGCATACCAAACACAACCAAACTTTGCATGTTAAATATTAGGTGTCTTGGGAACCACATATTTTTTGCGCAAGATCCGTCCAGCAATCAGGTTGCTGGACGGTTATTGTGAAGGGGGTGATGGGCGCGAATCGAGCCAACCATCTCGACTCGCGCCCCGCAGGGACGCATACTGCACGGCATGCGCATATCTGATATCACGCATACAGGTATCGCATACGCATAATAAACACTTACTGAGTGTTTCGCAGTGCAATGTCACCTCTAGCGGAAACGCGGATGCTAACCGCGTCCACGTTTCCGCTAAGGTTTCTTCCTTCAACCGCGCGCTCACTTGCAAGCGAGCACGATGCGCATCGGGTGAAGGAACCACTGGGGGAAATAGTGTCCCATATGTGATATCTGTCCAAAATAAATTGCACTGACTTAACGCTCAACCGCACATCGCGTTGTGGTTTGACACGTTCATTTGGGTATAGCGTGTTGGATTCAGTGACCCGTAGGTCATAACTTGCTCTGACTCCCGTTAGCTGTACCAGTACTCGTGCAACACTAGGTGACAGATACCTAGGTCACAGACCGCCTTATATTCGTATATCTTATAATCAGTTTACACTTGTATGATAATTACTCAGTGAACACCTGATATATTGTCGGCACAATATATCTCACAGGTTATGGGGTATCACCCCGCTTTCTTCACTGCTAACTTTGCCATGATTGGCTAAGTACTTCCGATTGGCGGGGCGTTGGGGCCTCGCGAGATGTTGAATTGGCCATCTTAGAGCTCGCGGTTTGCGCTATGTTACGGTGAGATTTTGGATTGGGAACTTTCGGCCTCTTCTTCGAGTGTCCGCGTTGGATTTTGTTTTCGACTGGGATTGATCACCCTTGTCAACACGTCCTTGGCCGTCGCGTATTCGACTTCGTTGGTTTCGTTCGACCCCCATTTCGCCTCGCTCCCTAACTGCGAATCCGTCGCTCGCCACCTTACAATTTGCGCCTCGCATTCACCCCAACACCCCTCCTATAGGATTTTATTTTGATGACTTCATCTTCAGTTGGGACACCGACCGTGGGCGCTAGGATGCGCCTGGATTCAATTTTTGCTCGAAACGTGGGTGCTCGCTATAGGAGCACTCCGCAGTCACCTCGTGTGACGCTTGTTGCTACTGACAGGACTCGTGGCAACGCCGTTTTGCAGTCGTCTTGGGACAGTGACGTTGTGAAACGTGTTGCAAGAGACACCTTAGGTAACAAGGCGTCTACATTTTCCGGAAGTGAGTCACATCGACAGCTTCTTTGGGATTCTTTGGTGATTGCGTTGGGGGCTTCTTTTGTCAACAAGGAGTCCACCAACGAGGACAGTTTTGACCTCGTGGACGCCGACATGTCACAACTACGAACGCCCCAGACACGGGGGGTTAGGGGGGGGTGCGACCCACGACAGGGTCTCCCCGTTGTCCCCACTCAGTCTTGCCCCTCTCCCCCCATGCAATTATACCTAATTTCCCTTTCTGTTACACCCACTTTCCCCACTCAGTTATTACCATTTTTCCCCACTCGGTTACGCCCACTCCCCACTCGGTTATTACCATCTTTCCCCACTCTGTGTTACACCCGCTGTCCCCACTCAGTGATTGCCCTTTTTCCCCCACTCGGTTACACAATTTTCCCCCATTCGGCTACACCCATTCTCCCCCGCCCAATTATACCCTTATTTCCCCACTCTGTTACACCCTGTACACACCCACTTTCCCCACTCAGACATATCCCTCTTCCCTCCGGCGGTGGTGGCCCTTCTCCCCAAATTAGTCACCCCGCTCCCACAGTCAATTACCCCGCTTTCATACTCAGGCACCACCAGTTCCCATAGTCAGCCCACCACGATACGTCCTCGTCAGCCAGTCACCCTTCATATATAAACCCCGCCTCATCGCGGCACGAGAAACGCACATGCTCATACGTGCCGAGCCCATGCGTCGACCCGCCCTCATACACAATCCCTAATTCCAGCAGGTTCCATTTTCGAATATAATGACCATATGGACCCGCCCTCTTCTGTTCTTGCTAAAGTCAGTGATATTAACTCACACTATGATTACATCTCAGACAGACAATATGAGACCATTATTGCCAGAATGAAAAACAAAACTGCGGAAGAAGAAAGTGAATACAGCTGCCCTAGCGACTCAGAAGAAGAATCTACCCCCTTCGCCGAAAAGAGCAAACAAATGGAGGATTATGATATGGCAAGCGATGGTTCCCTATTCGCCGGTAAAAAATCAGCATGCAGTGGTGCAGCATATGCCATAAAAAACTTTGACAACGGAATGCCACTTGTTCGGAAGATGAATATCCCCCCCTCAAGAACTTTCGCCGCACCGGGGCTTCTTATCAAGGAAGATATCCAAAACCCTAGTAGTACATCTGCTGAAATTGCGGGACTGAGATTCTTACTCACAGAACAAAAAGAGAATCTCCTCAAATCCATGACTCCAATGGTACATGCCATTGACTCCATGGCCGCAATATCTGCTGTAACAAAGGATGGCAGATCCATGAGTGCTCGGGACAAACTACGTGAAGCTAATCGCAGAGATGTGCAGGCTGTTCGCCTACTGTTAGAAGAACTTGGCTTCTACAGTGAAGGAGACCACAGTAAAATCATCCTTAAATGGATTAGGGGTCACAATAATGACAAAGTCCATGACAGAGTGGACCGTACTGCTAAAAGAGCCTCATTCAGAGGGGGTTGCTCAGACATCTCCCGCTACGACCCTGCCGAGAAACTGCCCTTCTCATTATTCTTTTTTGAGGTCCCTATTTTAGGCGATATCCGTAGTCACATTAGAAGAATTCAACGACTATCACACTATCATAATTGGAGAACTCTACAGTCTCAAGGGAAGTACTTGAGAATGCTTAACGAGAATAACACCGCCCCCACTAAAGATATTTCCAAAATAACACCTAAAGCTTTTACCGCTTCTAGAAGCAGAGAACTCCTGGGTCTCCAAGCCTCTCCAGCACGTTTATTTAAACTGGGGATAATCGGGACTGAAAACTGCCCCTACTGCCAACAGAATACAAAATGCACCTTCGAACACATCCAACTTGAATGCTCAGGACATAATAATAGTTTGCATAGTCTTAGAACAACCCAAGATGGCGAACTAAGGAAAATCATTGCTGAAGAAATCTCAGAAAAGCCCAAACTACTAAACCCTGGAAAAGGTACCACATACATCAAAACAGAGCCATCGAAACTTTTTCCACTTGCTGACCTAAGACAGGAAATGAAGGAGGAATTATACTTACACGCTCTCCCGGAAGCTAGCATGTACCGACCATCAAGTTCAAAAAAGAATACCATTGCTGTGACCGCTAAACCTGAAGTGGACCATGTCACGGGGACAATTAAATATCCCGAACTCCAATATGTCCAAAAGAAAGAGTTTTGGAAACTTTTGGCCTGGCACCGCCTTTCCGACAAAGCAGTTCCATGCTCACTTGCGGAGTACTCGAATAGGGCACACGATATTCACGAAGCACTCAATGCATGTAAGTTTGAATCGGGGGATCCTAAAAACTGCTATGCAATCAGAAGAAGCCTCTTAGATATTTTGGTGGATGACAGGAATCTTGACAAAAACGGCTGTGAACTCTTCTCCAACCCACTAAATGCCCACCCTAGAATTCACTCGAGAAGATGCATACCCACCACAAGAATGAAAAAAGCCCTCAGGCCCTTCTGCCATCATGGGAAAATTGGCTTTGATGGTCTCGCTTGGGATGCCTACGTTGATCCGATAACAGGCATCGGCAGAATCGTTTATGGAAATCCCCCCTTTGATGGGAAAGAAAAGGGCAAATCTTCGGCGGTTATGACTACCTTGGAAATGGGACATAAAGCGGCCAACACCGTCCCCGGATTTTCAGGAACATGGATTCTTCCGCTGTCTCCCAAAAACCAAAAAAGATGGTTCGACAAAGGTTTTAAACTTGTTTTCAGATTCCCGCATAACACTATTCCATTTATCCCACATGGCTATTGGACGGGTGATGACTTGGGGCAGCCACACATTTTGAAAAATTTTATTCAAAATTTGGGTGCTTATTTTGGCTTTAAAAATTTTCAAAATTTTGAAAAATTTGGGTGCATTTTAGGAAAAATCTGGGGCGTCCGGAAAAATCTGGGGGTGTCTGGGGAATATGGGGGGCTCAGGAAAATTTGGGTGACATGCGTGGCCACATCGATCGACGTGACGATATCATGGAGAGCTCGCGTCGATCGCGTGGTCGGCTGGTCGATGCCACGGCTGCGTTTGCGTGGCTTTCGGTGTCTACTGTCTTGAATGTCTTAACGTTAAGGCTAAAATCAGGAATATTATTACCGTAATATGGAATCAGCAAGTGAGGTACAAATTGCTATCTAAATACCTTATTATGCTATCTCACCGCATTATTTCATCTCACCGCGTTATTTCATCTCACCGCATTATTTCATCTCACCGCGTTATTTCATCTCACCGCGTTATTTCATCTTACCGCGTCACACACCCTCCACACTCGGGGATTAACTCGTCATCCTCTAGTTATCTCGTCACATAACTATCACGCTCCGCGCCTCCGCCCGTCCGCGCCTCCGCCCCTCCTAGCCACCGCCCCACCGCCTTGGGCGCCTCCAAGCCTCAAACCCTCCGCGCAGAGCCTTCCCCGCATGCTTATAGCTAAATATGGACAAGAAAATTTTTATCAAAATTTGGGTGCCTTCTCAAAATTGTCAAGAAAATTTGGGTGCTTCATCGAAAAATTGACCAAAAAATTTTGGGTGCCTTCTAGGAAAAATGTGTGGCTATGGCAAGTGATGACCCCTACGTTCTCCCAGGTGGTGGATGCTATAAGGATGACTTTTCGGATGTTGTTATCATAGCTATAGACAGTGCACCCAGTGATACTCAACCAGTCTTTGACTGGAG